TTTTTTTGATGCAGAGAATGAAGGTGATATCTGATTTGCTGATATCTGTATCCAAAGCCGAAAGACATGAGGCAAGGATGAAAGTACGTCAAGATTCCTTGAGACTTGGCAATGTGGGAGTGATAAGGTATTTAGACATTATTAATATTCGGGCGCATCCTCTTTAGTTGCAAAAGGGTCTTGAATCAGTCAAACTTGTCATATCATGTGCATATTATTCCGAGTCCTAATTTTTTCAGGAATAGGGTTTATACCGAATTATTCCGAGTTTTAATTTTTTAGGGATAGGTTTTATTATTTCATTTCTTTTTGAACCCCTCTACATTTTTTCGTGTGGGTCTTTGCAAGGATATTTTGGCAATTAATTCGTGGTGGTGCTTGCTTATTAGTGTTTTTGAAAAACTCGTGTTTAGTTAAATTTTTTATTTCTTTGATTATCATAAGGAGCTACAAAAATCCGCGCTTATATGCATTATCTCTACTGGAAATGCTATTTCTTTTTATCATTTATCTCCTTTCCTGTTGATCTCTGCATTTTGGTAGAGCTGGGACAGTTATATCCGAGGCATGGGAGGATGGACAAGCACTAAAGGATCTCAATGCTCATCTTGTATGATCTTCTTTACTAGAACTTGATTTTTTTTTTATTTTTTTTTTCATATATATATATTTGATCTCTTTTCCTTGCAAAGTTGTTTAATATATCATTTTGCACATCACATTTTTCTGAAGTAGCCCGATTTCAGGAAATAATCATACGACTTTAGGGTATTTTGCTTCTCCATATTAGCCTTTTATGTCTAAGTAGTATCACTTATAAATTTCTAAAAATTTTAACATAATTATGCATCCGTAATATTTGGTGCCTCAGTATACTTGGTACAATTTTCTGCCTGAAAATTGACGTAATTGGGTCTTGTTTTGATTCCTGCAAATAATGTTGCTTGCTTATTAGTGTTCATCTAACTGATTAACCGTCTCCTCTTTTCTGTTTCCCTCTTTTTTGTTGGTAATTATAGAGGAGTTTGTTGGAAACAAAAGAGGCCATTGAGAGGCAGAGAAAATCTATGAAGAAACGCCAACCTGGTAAAGGATAAAATGTCATTACAGATAAACTGTCATTTTAAGTTTTTTTATATCTTCTATATTCTCTCTTAGAGTTATATTTTTACCAGTAAATGTAAGAGCTAATAGCATTACGATCAATTGCAGATAAGGGCGATGCATCTGAATCTGAGGGTGGGGTTCAGGAAGAAGATATTCTCATTCAGGACGAAATATTCAAGTCTCGTCTAGCCAGCATCAAGCGCGTCAGTGTCTTGTATTTTTTATTCATTTGTTTTTTTGTAACTCACCGTTTTTTACGAAATCTTGTTTCAACATTTTAATATATAGCACCCATATATCTTTTTATAGGAAGAGGAAGCAGTTATGCGCGAAAGAGACCGCTATGAACTGGAGAAAGGGAAACTTATACGTGAAATGAAACGTATAAGGGATGAAGATGGTTCTCGTTTTAACAATTTTCAGATATTAAATCAGCGTTATGCTCTCTTAAACCTTCTGGGCAAAGGAGGGTTTAGTGAGGTTTATAAGGTCAGGGCTTATTTCTATGCTTTAGGAATAGTTCAAGACCTACGCTTAAGGTTTTGCTCAGTTGCAATTAAAGAAAATATCCTTTTAAAATTATTAATCCCCCCCAACTGAGATAATTTGTAAATAGAAACATATATCAAGGGGGCATTTTTAATTTTGAAAGATAGCTGAATTTTTTTTTTTTTAATTACTCGTATTAGTGTTCGTGATTCTGTTTAACATATGTTGCAGGCTTTCGACTTGGTGGAAAATAGATATGTTGCCTGTAAGCTTCACGGTTTGAATGCTCAATGGAGTGAGGAGAAGAAACAAAGCTATATACGGCATGCAATTAGGGAATACAACATTCATAAAACGTTGGTTCACCATCACATAGTTCGGCTTTGGGACATTTTCGAGATTGATCACAATACATTCTGCACCATCTTGGAATACTGTAGTGGTATGTATCGTATAGGTGTTCCCTCGTTTATATTATTGATTAATTTAATTTTCCCTTTTCTTTTCTTGAAGAGAAAAAAAACAAAGAATGTACTAGTTACTATTTCGAATTTGAAAGTACCCTGTTAAGATACCACAAACACCCTTGTGGGGGTTTGTATTTACGTATTCTCGAGGTGGGACTTTTTGAAATTGAAATACAACAAATGAAATTCTTGTAATTTAAAAGCTATCCTTTTCTTTTAATTCTCTTTTATCGATAAAGTAGGTTGAACCTCAAGCTTTTATCCTTGGAACTGCGGATGCAATCTGTTTAACATTGACCAATAAAGATGATTAATGATGATGGAAAGTTTCTTCTTTGTTTGCAGGTAAGGATCTTGATGCAGTTCTTAAAGCAACACCTGTTCTGCCCGAGAGGGAAGCTCGGATCATAATTGTCCAGATCTTTCAAGGCCTTGTTTACCTGAATAAAAGATCACAAAAAATTATTCACTATGATTTGAAGCCTGGAAATGTTTTATTTGACGAATTAGGAGTGGCTAAAGTAACAGATTTTGGTCTTAGCAAGATTGTAGAGGATGATGTTGGATCCCAAGGCATGGAACTTACTTCTCAGGGTGCTGGTACATATTGGTGAGTTGGATATGTTTTTTTCTATTTTTTTGTTTTTTTGTTTTTTTAATTTTGTTATCTACAATAGGCTTCGAGCTATTAAAATAACTTGATGAGTTAACTTGAATGAAATACCGAAACCCACCATCAACCTTTCAGAATTACAATAATAATAACCTTGTATTTTGTATCGTGACTGATTTGTTATCATGCTAGTGTGGCTACATATCCTTGCTGTCTATCAATTTTCATCTTCGATTGAGGCAAACCTTATTTAATTTTTTTTAACCATCTTATGGGAAAAAAAAAATTACATCTGTTTTTAAGTTTTTCTCTCGAGTAAAATTATATTTGATCTATCCTATTTTTCGTCATGATAGGATAGGCCAATGTCTAAATTTTACTTTTTGCATAAAGTATCATTTTTCATCTTTGATTGAGGCCAACCTTGTGTAATTTTTGTAACCATCTTATGGGGAAAGAAAAAAATAATAATAATACATTTGGTTAAGTTTTCCTCTCTAGAGAAAAGTTCATTCTATAGATCCTACTTTCTATCATGATAGATAGGCCAAGGTCTAACCCTCTCTCTCTCTCTCTCTCTCTCTCTCTCTCTCTCTCTCTCTCTCTCTCTCTCTCACTCACTCTCACATGGAATATATCTGAAACTATTAATAGGTATCTGCCTCCAGAATGCTTCGAGCTGAGCAAAACACCTCTCATTTCCTCAAAGGTCAGAAAATTAATTCCTGTTTCGGTTTTCGGTTTTCCTGTATTTTTTTTTCTTCTTCATATATGTGTGCATGTTATTGAAATTTGACGCATATTCTTAGGCTATGTTTGGTACACCTAGTTAATAAGTTAGATTATAGCTTTTAAGTGAATTTCGAGCTAGCTAATAGCTTATGACATATGAATGAAAAACTAGCTTATATGATTAAAGTGTTTGGTATAATTAGCTGAAATAAAAATTTCAATGTGCTTATTTGAAAAGCTACCCAAGGAAAAGCTTATGAGATAAGCTCGAGCTTTTTAAAATATCTCGTCCTACCAAACCAAGCTTATTTGAATACAGGAAGCTTAGAAGCTAATCAAATAAGGTATAAGCTAGCTTATATGCTTACCAAACACAGCTCGTAAGGCATTGTTGTTCTAGAGTATTAACTATTAACAACCCGTAACTTACTTTTCAATGCTGTGAACAGGTCGATGTTTGGTCTGCAGGCATCTTAATGTACCAAATGTTGTTCGGCAGAAGACCCTTCGGACATGACCAGACACAAGAGCGGATTTTGCGTGAAGACACAATCATAAAAGCTCGTAAAGTTGAATTCCCTTCAAGACCATCTGTATCGACTGAGGCAAAGGTAAAAAAAAAAGGTTTCGAATTTCTTCCATATATCCTTATTGGAAGATTAAGTGGTGCCTTTTGTAATTTAGGCCAAAAACCTCATTTTTTTTTTTTTTAAATTTCCTGCAGGATTTTATTCGCCGTTGTTTGACATATAATCAAGCAGAGAGACCCGATGTTTTAAGTATCGCCCAAGATCCATACCTAAACTATATAAAAAAATGAGTGAAGAAAACTGAAATTTTGTATAGTGGTGTAGAAACCGAATGTGTGTTTTGCTCTTCTCTTTTGATTGTGGGGTGTTTTTTTAAACACCTTTTCAATGACTTTTTTTTTTCTTTTTTGGCCATCTTTTCTTCTGTAATTTTACTAAAATTACAGTGTTAAGCAAATCACATGTTCTGCTATTTATCATAAGGTTTGAAAGTGTGGACGAGTTAATCATTCATGTTCCATTTGATACTAGGCTAAGTTTTGGAACAAGTTTAGCTGACCTAAAGTGTATTATATGCTAAAGTTTTATCTCGTTGTTTGAGTTAATCCTTATAAATAGAACTGATTTTGATTGAATTTATTTATGTGGGAAAATCTTGAATAAAATTGGTTTTGATTGGATTTATTGGTTAAAATGAGTTAATTTTGAATTATTTTTGTTATTGAAATAATATTTAAAATTTAACGATTAAAGTTGACGTGGTGTAAAAATAGAAAACTTTATTTGAAATGGTAACTAAAGTTGACGTGGTGTAAAAATAGAAAACTTTATTTGAAATGGTAACTAGTAAAAAATATGTGAGTAGATGAATAGTGAATAAAAGTTGATGAAATGATAAGTAGTTAAAAATATGCAATAAGATGAACGTTGAATCAAAGTTGGTGTGATGTGTGGGGATAAATGTGATTCAAGGTTTATGTGATGTATGAAGATAATTGATTGATATTATTTAATTATATTTATAAGAATGAGAAGAGTTAAGTTAGATTGAATTTGAGTTGGATTTTGAGTTAAATAGTGTAAGAAAAATATTCGATAAGTCAAAATTCAATAATACATGTAATCAATCGCATCCTAAATATTATAAATAGTATTGGTTTTCAAGGGCTCTTTTGAAAAATTAATGAGATGTGATTTAACATTTAATGAATCTTGATATCTTAGACATCCATTACTAACCTATATGTACTTAATAATCGTTCAGATATAGTAGTTTTATAATTGTGCATACTGGTGTAAAAGAGACCTTAGACTGGCCGGATTCGAGCTGATCTATTTCCTCGCAGGTGGATGCTCATTAATACATGCACAAACTCAACGCCGGAGGTGGTCTCTGGGGTAAAGCATTTGATACCTAGGTCATAATGAGAGAAAATGCAAAGAAGAAGGTAATGAACATTATCTATTGAGTAATGAGAGTCTAGAGAGAGAACTAACCTACCACAAGTCCACAACCCTTTATATACGGGTTTATCTTGCTGCCCAAGCTTGCTTAGAAAGTTGACCTAGTTGTCCAGGCTACCCGTCCGTACGCCCTGCACTGCCTCTAGACGCCAAACTTGTCAGGTGGTCAGACAACCCAATCATGTTGACGTGTGGTCCAATTCTCAAATAGCGCTACTTCCGAGTTAGATACCCATTTGTTCACCTGTATTCTTTATTAGACGCTCTAACCATAAAAACAGCTTCGCGCCCGGTAGAACACTTTCCTCACATGGCTCACCTACTAAGTACTCAGGTCGACGAGACCAGACTCTCGATAGGTCAAGGATTCATCGGGCCATCCGAAGGTCCTAACTCGATTTGTGCATGGTACCTTCATACTGCCTATCTATCGACTTGAATGTTCTTCGTTTGACCTCAAACTCTGTACGACCATCAGTTTACCCAGTTCAGTTGGGCAATTTCTTGGGTCTAACTGGTCCCGTATGACATCTCACATCATCTAGTTAGAGTGGTCGAGCTAAAATATCTTTGATTTTAGAGTAGATTCAACTCGGCCCTTTCCTATCATGGAATGTCTGCCTATGTTGGATAGAATTTGACATGCTTGTTTTCGTGGATAAAATTTCACAGAATCTTGAGTACAAAATTCGAATTACTCCTTTTCATCGATCAACCTTATCGCCCAAACTCTTCTATTTATAACCTAGTGTCTTCGACCCTCGGCCCACTATCTCAAATTTGAAATTCAAATTCTTATTCTTGCCACCTGTAGAACTGTCAGATCAACGTCCAATCGACGCGATCGTTTAATTAACAATCGCATCCCTCGTGCAGTGTGCCCCAATTGCCACATCAACGACTATCCAGTTTCCCTTTGATCTGACGGTCCGATTAAGTACAAGCTCGAGCTCAACTCGGGTTGGAATTACAAGTGCTTGAGGTTGACTTCCAGTTACCCATTCTCAAATAAATTTCAATTAATCACAAGAAAAAAGACCATTCTCCCAAATCACGAGCAACAAAAACCCTGCAACCAGAAATAAAACCCTCCAAAAATCAAGAAAGACAATGCGCAATCTCACGGCCAAATCGCTCCTCCACTCCACGACGCCATTGACGAGAAGGTACCTCTCCACAACCCCGCATCTCCAGCCTCAGTCCTCGCCGCCGCCTTCTCCTCGAAACGACGCCGTTGAGGAAATCTACCGCATAATCTCGACCTCGCCGGACGCCCAGTCCCTGAGGCGCTCACTCCTAGCATCCCGAATCCACTTTTCGAAC